GGAATAAACCAACTCTTGTTACTCTTCAGCCGAAGTAAGGGTATGGCTGAAGAGTGGTTGGCTGGAATAAACCAACTCTTGTTACTCTTCAGCCGAAGTAAGGGTATGGCTGAAGAGTGGTTGGCTGGAATAAACCAACTCTTGTTACTCTTCAGCCGAAGTAAGGGTATGGCTGAAGAGTGGTTGGCTGGAATAAACCAACTCTTGTTACTCTTCAGCCGAAGTAAGGGTATGGCTGAAGAGTGGTTGGCTGGAATAAACCAACTCTTGTTACTCTTCAGCCGAAGTAAGGGTATGGCTGAAGAGTGGTTGGCTGGAATAAACCAACTCTTGTTACTCTTCAGCCGAAGTAAGGGTATGGCTGAAGAGTGGTTGGCTGGAATAAACTGACTCTTTTTACTCTTCAGCCGAAGTAAGGGTATGGCTGAAGAGTGGTTGGCTGGATTAAACAAACTCTGTATACTCCTCAGCCGAAGTAAATATATCGGCTAAGGAGTGGTTGGCTGGTAAGCATAGTTTAACCAGCTAAAACCAGAATGAGAGTTCAAGTAAAATTTTCAGTCAAGACAACACAAATGCAAGCATTCGAATCAAAACCGGAATAAGAGTTAAAGCAAAACTTTTCATTCATTGAAAAACCATTACAAAGAAGGGCCATAGCCCAGTTACAAGAGCAAAAAACAAAAGGAAAAAGTACATATTCAAGAGAAAAGTTCTTCAATTTCTGCATCAAAAGCTGCATCACCATCAACTTGAAGACCAGTTTCAGGAGGGAGCTCGCTCTCGGTTACCACGGTGGTTTCGGTTGGAACCACGGTTTCACCGGGTAGTTCAGTAGTCAGGTCTTCCACCATGGGCTCCAACCGAACTGACGGGTCCACATTAACAACCTGAGTATCCTCAGAGGCTGAGTCTTCATCTGTGTCAGAGCCTTCAAGAAACTCCTGTTGCAGTGCATTAGCATAGTCCGCAAGGGAGCTCGGTATAAAATAGGCTGGAGGGTTGAAAACCTCGGTCTGTGAATCGTGACCGAGCTTCTCAACAGCCGCCCTCCAGCCGCACTTGAAGAACAGCTCCTTGGCAGCATCGCACTGTTTGACATAAGCATCCTCTGCCTTCTTATAACCCTGCTTTTCGGCTCCCTTCGCGCTCTTTTTCAGTTGAGTTATTTCGGTATCTTTTCTCTTTTCAAGCTTTACCAACTCGCGCAGATACTTGTCTTTCATAGCGATGGCGGCTTTCTGCTTCTCTGCTTCAGCCGAACTAACCAGACCGGCAAGTCGGCCGCTCTCAGCTTGTAGCTCGGCCATTTTCTTTTCGGCTTCTTCTAGCTCGGCCACCTTTGCTTCAGCCTCCGCCATTGCTTACCTTGTGGTTTTTCTAAGCTCTTGGACTTTCTTGTAAGTAATGTTGTTTTTCTGTAAGGCCTGATAAAACGAAGACTTCCCTTGAGTCGAAGTAAAAGTTTGAAAAATTAGACAGAAAAAACGGACAGAACTACTTACCAGAATCATGGACTTCGATGAAGACCGAATGGACTTCAATTCGGTGTTTAATTGCTTTAGGTGGTGCTCCATATCTTTGGGGAGGCACACACTCTTGGCCAGGTTGAAGGCCAATTGATGATCTTTTTCAGCAACAACCGAATCAGAATCTTTGATATCTCGGTCGTTGAAGGTTAGCTTCGGAGCCCATTTAGAAGATTCTGCTCGGTCAGTTTGCTCCGGTTGAAGGGTAGGTTGAGGACTTGGGGGGATGGATTCAACCTCATCGACAAGTTACTGTTCAGTCGATGTAGATCGGGCGCGTTTAGAGGGGCGAGATGAAGAAGGCTGTTGAGAAGGGAGGGCCACAACGGCAGGCTGCGTTTGGATCGATGGTGGTACTTCGGCCCTAGTTGTTGCGGTCAGAAGGGCTCTAACTCTGCTTTTCTTTGCCATCTCTTCTTCAGCGGTGAGTGGGACAAGTCGTATTTCGGGCAAGGTTGGGTCCGGTTTAGGTGTGTCTTCAAGAAAGAAATCGATCACTCTGGCTTTTCGGCGACCACTATACCTATAGGTCGGCTCAAAGTTTAGAAGCTTAGCCCAACTCCTTTCTTTAAACCGTAATGCGGCTCGGAGTGTGTTCAGATTTGGGTAACTGTACAGGGAAGCAAGATGAGACGAATCTGCAAAAAGATACAACTGTCAGATCGGTTGCGACATCTGAAACCGAAGTAAAAGAAAAAATGCATAAAACCAAAGTAACTCTACCAGGTTCTCCTTTTTTTCAGTTTATACTTCGGCCTGGGATTTGGGCTTGCTGATCTTCAAAATTTCCCGATACCCAGAAAAAGTCATCATCATTTACATCCTTATCTGGAGTATCTTTTATTATCTTTTCTCTACGGCGGCGTATCCTAAGGTAATAGACCCAGCCGTCGTCTTTGGAACCTATGGAGTACTGGTGGAAGATTTCGGCTAGACCGAGGTTCAGGCCTGCTTGGCGGTTTAGTTCGGCTATACCCATTATTATCCGGTATGTATTAGTGGATAGCTGGGTTGGGCATAGTCCGGTCTGCCTGAGAAACTCACAAATTAAAGGCTGGACTGGGAACCTTAGTCCGATCTCTATAATTGAAAGCAGGGTAAAAGGTACAAAGCCTACTTCGCCCCATGGTATGACGTCCTGCTTGGCTAGGGTAAGGTGTACATCGTCTGGAATGCCATAATCCCTTCGGAATTCGGCCATGCCACCAGGGGTCTCTACCAAATACCTATACTTACCCATCTATGGTATAAATTAAGAATAAATTAGTTCGGTCGGAAGATTGGGCTCAGTAGTTCGGTTGAGCGCACGAAGATGTGTCTGGGCAACCTAAGTCTGCAAAGTAGAAAACAAAGGGGTTAAGCACTGATCATTGGACCATGCTACAAATTAAAATCAAGGTATAAGAGCCCTACTTCGGCCTCATGAACTGGTTCTACCTCGGTTCGTCAAAAGGTTTGGTAGCTCGGTTTGAGCTGGTTACTCGTTAGACCGGTTCATCGTCTAGGGGCAGCTTTCTGAGTTCGGTCTAAAAAACTAAGAAAGCTGGTTTAGCCCCAAAGGCCTAAATTGGTTGAAGTATGAATAAAGTTACTTCGGTTGAGCCTCTAGGGACAGCTTTCTGAGTTCGGTTTAGAAACTAAGAAAGCTGGCTTAGCCCCAAAAGCTTAGTTCGGTTGAAAACCGAGGTTCCTAGTGTAATATGTTCAAACCTCGGTGATCTTATTTCGGCTAAAGTGAATCAGGAGTTGGTGACTCATTGAAACTTTTGTTATTTATTCAAGTTTTAGTTCGGTTATTGACTAAAGTGATCTACCTATATAAGACAAACAGTATCCTAGCTCAATTGCTACATAATTTTGGATCTAAGACTAGTTTTCTACAGGAGTTCATACACGCATGGGTTCTGCTAATGTTTTTTCATAAAAGTACAGAAGCGAACCAAAAATGGACAAACATGTTTGCAAAAAACATACAAAACAAAATATACAGATGAACAGAGCAAGAAGGATAGGCTTGTTTACCAGATTGAAGAGAAGGGGACTAGAGATGGAGACAGTAGCTGCAAATGAAGAACACAAACACAGGTTGGAAAGGCAGAGGCACGGAGAGAGAAGAATGTGAAAAGTATGAGTGAATGATTCAAGAATAGAAAGGTTGTTTTGTGAAAAAGGAGAGAGAAAAAGTGGCAAAAAGGAGCGGGACTGTTCAAAAATTTCGTAGTACGAGGGCGGTGTGATAACAGCTCACAGCCTATCAGAACCTGCCACGTGTCATTGGAAAGTGAAGTGTTACAATCAGTGATTGAAGAGACGTTTTGACCGAACAAGTAGAGCCGGAGTAAAATAAGCTCGGCTGGAGAGGCTAGAACGATGTTTTAGTTCGGCTGTAAAGGCTTGAAAACGTTTAGCTCGGCTGGACACTTGGTAATCTCAATTATGCTGTGCAGATGGAATTAAGGGGCAATTGAGAGGGTAATTTTGAGTGAAAATTGGGCCGAGCTATGAGACAGACTTTATGGCCCAAAATATGACGGACTGAGTAAGAAGGGCCGAAAAGTTACTCAGGCCCAAGGGAGATAAAGTTACTCCGGCCAAAAGAGATGAAGTTACTTCGGCTCGTGAATTGTTAAGCTACTTCGGTCCGGGGGCAACTTGAAGTTAGACCGGTCTTGAAGGAACATCGTTCTTGAATTTATACCGGCTTTAGAGGTATACCGGTTTTGGAGTTATACCGGTCGAAGAGTCGTTGGTTCGGTCCAAGCACACCATGAGTTGAACAGGTGAGAACCGAGATAAGGAAATATAAGCGGAAGGGCCAAACTAAGGATAGTTCGGCTTACTTTGTGGCTCAGCATAGCCAGGTTTATCTCGGTCGAATGGTAGTTCGGCCATGGTGAAAACCATCCCCCTTGGTTTAAGCAGTGGGGGTTGTAAAAGGATAAGCATTATCCTTTAGGAGTATGAATCCTAGGAGGACTCTGCATGGAGAAATAAAAGTCCTACTAGGATTGTGCCACTCGAAACCTATAAAAGCTCACAAGCATCACCTTGGAGGAGGTAACATAATACAACATATAATTTTGCTTCCTGAATACATTGAGCTTTGTCTATTTGTCAAATCTTCTGACTTAAGCATCGGAGAGGTTTCCGGCACACACCCGCCGGCTAGCTCACGTTTGTGTTTTCAGGTGACAAAGCGACGCCGTACGGAGGAGCGTTGACTTAATCAACAGGATTATACGAGGAGAATTATTTCTTCCCCGTACAGATACATAATCCAACGGATTCGTAATCCTAAGACTATTAATCATGGAAATGCTAATCCAGTCCGCCCAAACAAACATGGCCTAAGCGTATTGAATAATTTCTCAAAATGGAGGGACATAATTACAAATACTTGCAATTATCACCCTTCCTTGCATAATTGCATAATTGATTATCTAGATGTCTTATTATTGTTTTCATTTTGGCTGTTCCTTTCACTGATTTCGCCAATAAATACTCTCTTCACATTTTCCCAACTTTCCCTGAAAATCCATTGCAGACCCTCCGAAGCTCCGTCCACCACCAATTTTCTTTCTCTCGATCCTTCGCTTCGAATTGACGTCTTCATATATAGTCCCAGTAGTTCTTCAATTTTCACTCACTGTAAGCAAAAACACCATTTTGTAAATCAGTTTCGCTTCTCCAACTGTTTTTCGGAAGCATTTTGTTGGTTTTGTACTTCTTAATTGCATCATAGGTGTTTGGTTTGTGTTCTGTTTAGAATTTTACATTTAGTTGGATTGATTGACAAGATGAATAATAGAATTTCGTGCTGTTTGGTTGCTGAGAAATCACAATGAAAATTAAAAGAAGTCATAAATTTTAAGTCTTTTGACAATTTTTTATTTTACTATTAGTTATGAATGAAGAGCTTAACTTAGTTGCGTTGGAAATGATTGAATTTGTGTCTTATTTTGTTTTGGGACTGTGAAGGTTGTGACCTGGTGTTTGTGAAAATGGCGACTGGAGCTGTTCCGGCATCGTTTACGGCTCTGAAGAGCAGGGACCATGGCTTAGGATTCGCGAAAAGCATGGATTTTGTGAGAGTTTCTGACTTGCAGAGAGTCAAGTTTGGTCGGAAGAAGGTCTCAGTGATCACAAACTCGAACCCCGGTTCGGAAATTGCAGAACTTCAGCCTGCATCACAAGGGAGCCCTTTATTGGGTATAACTTTGTTTTCAATGCTTGTCCTGAGAATTATTTGAATTTTTGGTTATATGCAGATTTTTGAAGTTTCAAAATTCTGACTAATTTTTGCTTGTTTTTCGTTTTTCGTCTGTTTGGTTGTTGAGAAAATGGTGGAAACAAAAGGGAATTAAAGTTATGCCTTGTTTGGCATATACTCAAAAAGTCAAAAACTCACTATCCTATTTAAGTCACATCATCTTATTTAAGTTACATCACCTCTCTATCAGCTCACTTCAAACACAACCCATATCCAACCTATATTTCATAAAAATTTAAAAAATACACTTATTTAGGAACCTCCTAAACCACCGCTTAGTCTTGTGTTATGTGTTTTATTTTCAAAAAAGTAAAAGAATGAACTGAAGACATGAATTTTTTAGAAAAGCTAGGAAACTAGAAAATTTGGTCTATCGTCTAGATTCAATTCTGTATAATGGGACTCACGCTTGAAAAGAATCTCAACCATTGAATGCTTTTTCTGAGTATATTTCTGGGTACATGGTATCGCTGTGCAATTATTGTGTTTTTCTTTTTATTTTTAGATTCCAAATAATGAATACACCTAGGATTTGATTTTTTTGAAGCTTTATGTACCTTTTATAATTACCTTCTCAGCAATAAACCAGAAAGTACAGAATATCAACTGTAATATTACATTTGGCATTTTAAATATCTGATGAGTCATTATATGGTTGTAGTTCCTAGGCAGAAGTATTGTGAGTCCATACACAAAACAGTTAGGCGGAAAACCCGGACAGTGATGGTTGGAAATGTGGCTATTGGAAGTGAGCATCCCATAAAAATTCAAACAATGACCACAACTGACACCAAGGATGTTGCTGCAACAGTTGAACAGGTTCTTTTGCTTTCTTTGTTCGTCTATTTCAGCATATAGCTTTTGAAGACAAATGGAATGTTTTTAGTCTTCTATTGTTTACTTCAAAACTTCGCCACCTATGTGATTCAGGGTACCTAAATGGCCAACCCTGGCGTTACTAAGATTATTAGCTGAATTTCATGTTAAATATTTATGTATAAATTGTAAAGCTTTGAGTTCAGAAAATTTCAATCGATGATGTCTTCTTCAGACATTTATTTGACTGCCATGACTGTTATGAATAAAATACAAATAAATATATATACAAATGAAAGAAGACATATATTTTGATAGCATATGTATGTTAACCATGATAGTTCTGCATTTGCAAGGCTTTCAATGAGGTTGCCTATTGTCTTTGTTAGGTGATGAGAATAGCTGACACCGGTGCAGATATTGTTCGGATAACAGTGCAAGGCAAGAGGGAAGCAGATGCATGTTATGAAATCAAAAACTCCCTCGTTCAACAGAAGTAGGTCTCAAGCACTGTTGGCATTTATGAAAATTCCATATGAATATCATACTTGGTGTATGTTATCTTACTAATATTTTGTGTATGCAGTTATAACATACCTCTGGTAGCAGACATTCACTTTGCCCCCTCTGTTGCAATGCGAGTTGCCGAATGCTTTGACAAAATTCGTGTCAACCCAGGAAACTTTGGTACCTAGTTTATCACTTATTCAAGTGTTTTTCATATTTTTTGTAACTACTATTCGGAGATTTAAATGGTGATTCCTTGCAGCTGATAGGCGGGCTCAGTTTGAAACGCTTGAGTATACTGAAGACGACTATCAGAAAGAACTTGAGCATATTGAGCAGGTCAGACTACATAACAATTCCTGGGTCCATCTGTTGACAATTCTCTGCATTTAATGTTGTATAAATTCAACTCCCTTTTGTTGTTCTCTGTATAATGCCCATGCTTTTCCATTGGGACTATTGGGCTTCAGCTTTGTCTCTTTGTAGTGGCAACAAGGAATCACCATTAACCTATTTAGGAATGGTGATTCCTGAAATGGCAACAAGGAATCACCATTTAAATCTCCATTAAAAGATGAGCGATTCCTGAAATGGCAACAAGGAATCACCATTCCTAAATATGAAAGGAATCACCATTTTTTGTCTCCTTGTTGCCATTTCAGGAATGGTGATACCTAACCCAAGCCTTGCTCCTTCATTTCAGGAATCACCATTTAAATATGAAATCACCATTTAAATGGCAACAAGGAATCACCATTAACCTATTTAGGAATAGCTAAATTATTCATGTCAGCAATTGCTATGAAGCCTTGCTCCTTCATTTTTCCTTATGTTCATTAACCTATTCTCACATTTGCGGAAATTTAGCTATTCCTAACCTAGACCTTGCTCCAAAAAGATGAGTTACAAAATAGAGTTTTCTGAGATATAACTCCAAATTTATATGTCTTTCAACATTGTATCTTACATCCACCAGATTTTTTCTCCTTTGGTTGAGAAATGTAAGAAATATGGAAGGGCAATGCGCATTGGAACAAACCATGGTAGCCTTTCAGATCGTATAATGAGTTACTATGGGGATTCTCCAAGAGGAATGGTACGGGATTATTGTCTATGATACTGCCACAGACTTCTGAGTTTGTTCTGTTCTAGATTATTTACTAATTCAGTGATGCCATTTTGATCACATTCCTAAAATAGGTTGAATCTGCCTTCGAATTCGCAAGAATTTGTCGGAAGTTGGATTACCACAATTTCGTCTTTTCAATGAAAGCAAGCAATCCAGTTGTCATGGTCCAGGCATACCGTTTGCTTGTTGCTGAAATGTATGTTCAAGGCTGGGATTATCCACTACACTTGGGAGTTACTGAAGCTGGTGAAGGTGAGGATGGACGGATGAAATCTGCAATTGGCATTGGAACCCTTCTTCAGGTACCTTTTTTTTTGGTTAATTTTTATGAGGCCTTCTTCAAGTACTTTTCATCCTTGTATGTATTCATTCCAATTCGCAACCATAAAGAAATGACATTTTTTGGCATTGTATTCAACTGCACATCCCTCAAGATGATTCTCTCTTTTATTTATTTATGTTAGTAATATCTTTCTCTCTAATTCTTACAAGTACAACAGAATTTAGGACAAAATGTGTGTATGTGATTTCTTAATAGTGTAAATTGTAGATTAAGGGGTGGTTTGGGATGATTTAAATATGTGTACTTTTTGACTTTTTATGAAATATGGGTTAGGTATGGGTTGGGTTTGAAGTGATGTGGTAGAGAGGTGATCTGACTTAAATAAGATGATGTGACTTAAATAGGATAGTGACTTTTTGACTTTTTTAGATTATGACAAACAAGGCCTAATGCAGACACCCCATTTTTGACCGCCTTTAAGACTTGGGCACTACTGATGGTTTACTTGGTGGTGAAAGGTGTGCAGGGCAAAAGTTCGATTTCTTCGACAAGAGGAGAGTCAAATCCTAAACTCACACCTCATTTTGGACCAAAGCTATTTTGAATGGTTTTTAGACCTTAAAACCCTCTCTTTCAAAATCTTTTTGAAAATAAAGTTCCTACGATGTTCCGACGCTCGCATTTTGTTAAATATTGCATTTTTCGGCAAACCGAGTAAGGACAAAATGGAAATAAATGAAAGAGAGATGAAATATTTAAAAAATCTTTCAAAAACGCCTTGTTTAGGGGTTTGGAGTTGAAGAAAAGAGGAGATGAGAGAAGAAACCCAGTCGGGGAAGGAGTTGGGCATGAATCTTTAAGAGAGAGACGAGAAGTACTCGCCAAATCAGGCCTATCCTTTTGAATACTTGGATTTCAGCTATGAGGCCACTACCGTTGGAAAGCTTACTTCCGGGGTGTCAATTTTTATTCAAGAATCTCCTCGAGTGGAGTCCGGATGGGAGAGGTATGGTTGTTGGAAGTTGGGCATCAATCCGGTTGGACCGAAACTGAGCAGTCTTCACTAAAAGAGGGATATCTCTTAGCACACATGGAATTTTGAGGTGAGGCTTCCAAATTTGGAAAGAAGACTTCCGGGGCTACAGTTTAGACTCAAGAATGACCTGAAAAGGCATCCAGATGAAGGATTTAGGCTTTCTTCAAAACAGGGACTAGGACTGATTTTTGTTGCTGGCCTCTATGGGAGTGTGCCGGCCATGATTGGCCAATGCCGGCCATGATTGGCCAATGCCGGCCAAAAATGACCCCTGCCGGCCATCAATGAGCCACTGCCTGCCATCACTGATGGCCGGCAGCACCCCTCTCTCAGCAGGTTTCACGACAGATCTTTTGAGCCAGCTGGAATCCTTTAATTTCCCCTCCATACACGTGTATGGAGGGATGAAGCTCTTGCCAAGCTTGTTCAAGAAGCTTTGAATTGATTTTCTTCTATATAAGCAAGAGGCCACCCTCTATATCAGGGTTCACCCATTTTTGAAGAGAAAAATCTCTCTCTGTCTCTCTATATTGTTGGAGTTTTGTGCTTTGAAGTTGGATTTCCTTGCACTTTTACACTACAACCCTTAGAGATACACCACCACCATTGGAAAAAGCTTCTTGGGAGGTCTTCTTGAGGTCTGAAAGTGAGTTTCTACCCCCTGAAGTTGCTGGTTTCGAAGAGGGTCTTCAAGGGTGAGTTTCTTCCCCTTTTTAGCACTTTTTTGTACCTCATTTTGGCCATCCTTGCATATGAGCGGGGGTGCTCACGAAGTGACCTTCCCCAATCGTACCCAAGTTCCCGAGCCGAGGCAACTTTGGTGATGACGGACACGTGGCCGTCTCCTACATCCTTTTACGCTTTATCCCTTTTTGTAGGCTTATTTTGCATCATATCTTAGCCCTACTTGTGAGCATTTTCGAGATTTGTCATAAACTTGAAAAAGTTTCCTTTTGAGCTTATAAACATGTTTGTTTAAGATACTTTCTCTGTTTGGGGTCATCTACCCCCTTTCATGCCTTATTTCCTCATGTTTTAAGCTATGTATGTGAGCACTTGCATTGGCCTTGATTTGGCCTTTTAGCCACTGAAATCCAGCGGATTTTTAGTGGCTTAGATGTGCTTTTGAGCTTCAAAATCATAGAGGGGTGACCCTCTCACCCCTCATTCTCTTTACTAGCTTTGTTGGCCTCCCAAAGGGACCCTCACTTGCACGTTGTGAAGTCACTTTTTGGACTCAATTTGGTGAGTTTCAAGGTCTGCCCTAGCTCTGTCCGGGGCCTCTTTGACCATATTTTGTGTCCATAATGCATGTGTAGAGCAATCCCATTCAAGGCCTTTTGAGGGGGCCTTTCATTGTATGCTTCATTGACTCATTTCAGAGCTAATTTGGTGAGTTTTAGGCTTGTCATAATTGATTTCGAAAGTTGGTTTTGCCATGCTAAGTGTCCTTGTTGTATGTGTTGAGTAACCCCTTGCATGGCCCTCCAAAGAAGCTCATCATTTTTGCATGCATTGGATGCATTTCAGTAGTTATTTGGGGTTTATTTGGCATGAAACACTTCTATTTTTGGCTGGTTGGGTGAGCCCTTATATGCTTCATATAGCTGTAGAACAACTCATGGTTCACTAGCCTATGTTGCATGTTGTTTTGGCCCTTCATGTTGGCACCTTTTGGCCATGCCTTGAACTGGTAATGTGCTCATTTTGGACTACCCTAGCTCTGTTTTTGGGTCTTGTGGTTGAATGATGTTAGTTTTGCATGCTTGTAGTTCAATGCACTTGCCTATCTTCGAGTTTTGAGGTTTGTTGCATGCATGTACTGAGATACTTCCATGTTTTGAGCCTATCAATCATCACATTTCAGAGCTTGTTTGAATGCCATGTTGCCATGTCTTTATCTCTTTAAATGCGTTTGAGAGTCGGGCTTGTATGCCTTGTTTTCGGACCATTGAATGAGCTCCATTTCGTTGCATTCCGAGCCATCATTTTAGGCCATTACCCCACTGTTTCAGACCTACCTAGGGTCTGTTTAGGGTTGGTTTTGCCATTAGTGTATTGCTTTGGGTACCTCTAGTGTAACGCACTTCACTAGTTTCGGTACCCGGTCCCCCTAGCATGCATTGTGTGACATATTTGCATGTTTCGGGACCATCTTTTGTGCCATTTCAGAGCTGTATCATATGTCATTCTATGCCATACTTCATCCTCTGCCATGCTTAGTTAGAGTTGCATGTTATGCCTTAGGATCGGTCCTTTGCATCCGTGCATGTTTGCATGTGTTTCGGTCGTCTCATTTCCATAATATGGCCACTGATTTGGGCTTAGTTGAGAGCTGCCCACATTAGTGTAAGCCCATCCCCTTGCATGTTGTCGCATGCCTGTCTTGCATATTGTTGTATGCTTGCTCCATCTTTGCATGTTGTCGCATGCTAGTCTCATTACATGTTGTTGCATGTTTATGTTACATTTTGTCATGTTGTCCAAGGTTGTTACCTCACATCATGCATATGTGCTTGTTGCATGTCATTAGCCTTGTCAAGTTATTCATATTGCATGTTTGCCATGCTTACGTGTTGCATTGTTTGGATTAAGTGCTAATCCGAGCACGAGGAACGAGGGGCGTTTCATACTCCGAGTGATGGAACGTGTCTCAATTCTCGGTCGCCTAAGCTCTTGATGATTCATGATAGAGTTTTAGGCTTTACTTGCTTCATTTGTGCATTCATTTTCATATTGATTTGCACAAGTTGGATCTTTGGCCATCATGCATCGGGATACGTGATTGATGGTCGTGGATCCGACTAGGCCTCTCCCTTGATGTTTTGAGGTGATTTGGGGTGGCATAGTGCATATACACCCTTGGGAGACCCTCCCTTTTCTCTATTTTGTGCTTTGTTGCAACTTAGTGTCACAGCACACCAGTGGCCGGCAGTGCACCACTGATGGCCGACAGTGTCACACCCTTGGCCGGCAGTGCCCTGTTGTTGGCCGGCATCTCTCCTTTCATGGCCAGCAGGCCACTGGTGAACTCTCCAGCAGTGTTTTGGTAAGTCTCAACAACAAGCACTGGAAGACACCCTGTAAACAGTGCCTCTAAAGAGCAACCGGAAGGCGTTTCGAGGCGGGGAACCAAAGCGAGCATGCATACCCTCCTCTTCTTCAAACAGAGTTGCAATAGTATCGTTTACTGCTTTCCCTATTTGTTTGTTGTCTTTCATTTGATAGTTAATTAATTTGTTAATTAATTAAGTTGTGTAATAATTAGTTGTACCTAGTTATTCATTTGGTTTTGTAATAATTAATTAGCTCGTGAGTTAGTTAATTAGGTGGTTTGTATTGTTTATTCGGACCCTAAGAGAGAGGGCTAATTGTGTAATAAGTGTGCGTGTGTGTGTGCATGTCTCCCAACCTCCATTTCTTTCTCTCTTTTACTTACCTGCTTTTGATGGTTAGATTAGGGCATGTTTCAATTAGCATACTTATGCTTGCATGTTTGCATCATTCATCTGTATTACGTGCACCGGGCTCAGCGCATCATACTAACTGCATTGTATTTCAATTCCGAGTTAAATACTTGTTAGTTGTAGCATTTTACATGCCATCCTTAGAAATAGCCGAGCCTACTGTAGTTGCATTTTGCATATGTTGCATTAAGCATTTCTGTATATTTAGGATCATGCATGATTTCCAATCAGCTTCTGTTTTGGCTTGGAATACTTGGTAAGTGTTTATGCTTTAGCATCCTTGCATGCGTGTGAGTGACTGCCATGATAGCATGCTTACCATAAGGCTAACTGCTTATGTAATATACCTGCTTGAATGCCTGTGGGTGAAGGTTGGGTTATTTGGATTGGAACAATTCATCGATTGTGAGTTTTAAGCCCACTTGAGAGTGGCAAATCATCTTGTTTTCTAAGCCCACCCGAGGGTGGCAAATCCACGTCTTAGCCTACTTACGAGTAGCACCATCAAACCATTTTCAAATAAACAAACATAAGATGTTTTGTTCCAATTCAGGCAATCTGGTCTATATTTGTATGCTGTACGCATCACATATTAAATCTAGGCTAATAACCGGAATAAGAATGCATAATGTTTTCAAAACTCGATATCATGGTTAGTAGAGGCCGATCTTTGATCGGGCGAGCGGGGGTGCTCACGAAGTGACCTTCCCCAATCGTACCCAAGTTCCCGAGCCGAGGCAACTTTGGTGATACGGACACGTAGCCTTAGGCAAGGAGTCAGGGTTTCCTAAATTCCTCCAAAATAAATATTTAGGTGGCGACTCTGTATCCGGCAAAGCAGTCCATGTTTGGCACTTCTTTCAAAAAATCTGTTTTCCAAAACGATTTACCGGATTTGGACTCTTTGATGAGTCATCGGTCTTGCATTGCACTCTGCGAGATTAGATACAGGACCGTGACTTTGAGTCCTGAACTGTAGTGAGCCCATATGAACAAAACGGGATTTCCCTCCCGGGACGTTCGGGGACGTCTACACCTAAGTGAAAATATATAGGTGCATTTATTTGCATGTGATCTGGCAAATTGTACCCAATTTTTTTTCACCACAAACTAAGTCATCTGAAGAGGGAACATTATACATAATGCTGTTCAGTAATTAGTGATCATGCTGCAACTTAAGAATTTTATTTGATGTGAAGGATGGCTTGGGTGATACAATTAGGGTCTCCCTCACAGAACCTCCAGAAGAGGAGATAGACCCCTGTAGAAGGCTGGCTAACCTTGGTACAAGAGCAGCTAAACTTCAGCAAGGGGTGGTAAGTTTCTACGATATCCTTATTTAATGGTTATGCTTACACACTTTTATGTTAACCTTGCACAAAAAAAAAAAAAAAAAATTAATCTGTTTGTTTTCTTTTTTTAACCAGGCTCCATTTGAAGAGAAACATAGGCATTACTTCGATTTCCAACGCAGAACTGGTCAATTGCCAATGCAAAAGGAGGTCTTATTTCAACTTTTTTGGGATTTGTATGGTGAGCTTTTTTGTTACTTTATTCAGAGATTACTAAACTGATTCTTGTTTCATTTATGTGTAGGGTGAAGAGGTGGATTACAGAGGCGTGCTGCACCGTGATGGCTCTGTTCTCATGTCTGTTTCCCTGGATCAGTTGAAGGTCAATCTTGTCTTGGACTTTCTTCGTGATATTTTCTTATCTAATTTAACAAGCACTGCCACATGATATTAATTCTAGTTCTTGTGCATTGTCAAGTTTGTCAAAAAAATGTATGCCCCGAATTGAGGGATCACAAAGAGTCTATGGTTTAAGTGATTTATAGCATTGAGAGACAAGTGTATGGGGAGCCATACTCGGCATATTTTTGAGCAGCTATTATTAATCAGTTTTATCATCCTGAATTGCATCTTGAAACATTTTCTTTTTTTCTTTGCCAGACACCTGAACTCCTCTACAAATCACTTGCAGCTAAGCTTGTCGTTGGCATGCCATTTAAGGTTTTCCCCATATTTGATTTATTACAACAAACATATCAGATGCAGTTTAATTATTTAGAATATGCATTGTGATGTTGTTAACATCGAAGTTTGATGTTGATTTAGGATCTGGCAACTGTGGACTCAATCTTATTGAGAGAGCTTCCATCAGCAGATGACAATGATGCAGTAAGGACACCTCTCTTTTGTGCCATTAGTTTTTGATGAACAAATTCTGATGTAATTTCTATTAATCATGTTTTAGCTTCGCGGCGTTGTATTTTAAACCATTTTCGCTGTACTGTTGTCTAATGAATAAAGGAATGGAAATGACTTGATATTATTCTTTGCACCATGATCAGAGGCTAGCTCTCAAGAGGTTGATAGATATTAGTATGGGGGTTATAACTCCATTGTCAGAGCAGCTGACGAAACCATTACCGAATGCCATGGTCCTGGTAAATCTTAAGGAATTATCAACTTGTGCTTACAAGCTTTTGCCGGAAGGTAGAAGTTTTCTGAGCTTCCTGAACTGGGAACATTCCATTATGTAATTAATTACCATTGCCCATAGTATGTTAACAATCTACTTCTCAGGCACACGCTTGGTTGTGTCTATACGTGGTGATGAACCTTATGAAGAGCTGGAAACTCTTAGAAATATTGATGCCACAATGCTTCTACATGATCTACCATATACAGAGGACAAAATCAGCAGAGTACATGCAGCTAGGAGGTATTAACGCTCTGGACTCTTTCATAATGTACAAGCAGGCTTTAGTTACTGTGATTGAACAATTTGTCCCCCTTTGTTAAGGCAGCTTATCAAAGATTTATTACTTACATCTGTATGCATGTATTATATATATAGAGAGAGAGAGAGAGTTCCTTCTCTGCTTCTGGGGCTTTGATCTGGCAAAGCATTCACTTGTGCAGCTGTTGACAACACTAATGTGTAAATAGAATGGTCACCCACCCATTTAGTATCATCCATCCCAGTCCTGATTGTTTGAATGTCTTCTTCACTGCAGGCTATTTGAGTTTCTTTCAGACAATGGTCTGAACTTCCCTGTAATTCACCATTTACAGTTCCCTAAGTCAATTCACAGGTAACTACCAAATCTGTACTATTTGAGTGAGGTTAAAGTATGAGTAGTCTTGCTTACTCTTAAGTCTATTATTTGCAGGGACGATTTAGTTATTGGTGCTGGTAGCAATGCTGGAGCCCTTTTAGTAGATGGTCTTGGAGATGGTGTTCTATTAGAAACCCCAGATCAGGACTTCGATTTTCTTAGAAATACATCTTTCAATTTGCTACAAGGTTGCAGAATGCGGAATACAAAGACAGTAAGGAGGCTTGGTTTTGAAACCCAAAAAAAGAAAAAGAAAAGAGTAAATGTAAGTGACGTTAACTTGGCTGATCTATGAACGCCTGATTTTTATTGCAGGAATATGTCTCATGCCCATCCTGTGGTAGGACTCTATTCGACCTTCAAGAGATAAGCGCACAAATAAGAGAGAAGACATCACACCTGCCTGGTGTTTCTGTAATTACCAAACCCTTTTGCACTCAGTGATTGGATGACATTGAAGGCCCTTTTCATTGTGGTACACTAATTCTGTGATCTCATTTTGTTTTTTTCCTGCTTCTTCCTCATCCTATGGCAGATTGCAATCATGGGTTGCATAGTAAATGGACCAGGGGAGATGGCTGATGCAGATTTTGGGTATGTTGGTGGTGCTCCAGGAAAGATTGACCTTTATGTTGGGAAGGTATTGTAACATTTTTCTTCTTTGGCTTGACATATGGAATTAAATGGAATATGTTATTGAGAATTTCAACAAGCTTAGAAATTAAGATGAGCGTGCTGGTGTCATATGCAATTAGACTTGTTATTGGGTTCTAGGGTTGATATGAGAAGAACTACAGCATGGAGTAATTGGGCAAGACACACAAGCATGCTAGTATGCACCTGTGATCATCATAAACACACCCCAACACACGCAGAAATGTTGGTACTCAGTTGTATCTTGTATTATAGAAACTATATAATCCAATGACCACGAGATAAGAACTAGTTAAGTTCACACCCTAAAATAAAAAGGGTAAATTACACTTTGCCCCCACCTATTTTCCACTCTGGCCTTTTAAGTTTGATTTTTTCTCCTTTACCTTTTATGTTTGCAATCCTTCCCACTTTAATCCTAGACTAATTTCCATCCCACAAACTAACAGAATCTGTCACAACACCAACACATTAGCTCTACGTGTGATGTAAAAAATTCACTAAAGATGCAAAAAATAAAAAATAGAAAACAAAAAAATTAGAACATTTTTAATATATATATATATATATATTTAGTGAACTTTTTTATCAAATTTATTTATAAACATTATTACATTATAGATGCATCTAGATTAGATGCACCTAAAAAAATAAAAACAAATTTAACTAAAAAAAAAAAAAGTTTACTAAAGATGGAAAAAATATATATATATCGACTCATACACATATATTGTCAATTCTGAAATGAAAAGTTTACTATCGTTTTTTTTTTCGCCTTTATTGAATTTGTTTCGTCTTTTAGTTATATTTGTTTTTATTTGCATCTATAATGTAATAATTTTTATGAATAAATTTGAAAAAAAATTCACTAAAGACCAAAAAGAAAAAAAAAAATTCAATTTTTTTGTTTTCTATTTTTCATTTTTTTGCATCTTTAGTGAATTTTTTACATCACACATGGAGCTGATGTGTTAGTGATGTGGCAAATTCTGTTAGTTTTATGGATGGAAGTTTATCTAGAAGTAAATTGCGAAAGATTGCAAACATAAAGGGCCAAAGTGGGAAATTGGTGAAACTTTAGGGGAGGCAAAATGTAATTTATCCAAATAAAAACCTGTAGAGTTATTAAACTGGCGCATGTATATCATGCAGGTCTATTTGCTTAAGGTATGATGAAAGTTAGGACTAGTGGCTCCTTTGGTTAGGATGTCCAAAAGTAGTTTTCCTGTCTTTGCTGGAGCGTAAATCTACCCAGCTTTAGTGAAAAGTTCATAGAATGTCTACCAACCTGAGTCTGCTTGATCATAAACTCTGCTTCTGGGGCTTTGATCTGGCAAAGCATTCACTTGTGCAGCTGTTGACAACACTAATGTGTAAATAGAATGAATCTTGGGAAGGAAAAGTACTGAAAAAATGTGCACCAATACAAAATATTAATGAAAGTGTGGAGCTGAGGCTATCCATTCAATTGAGTTTTACAAGAGGGCACATTATACACTGTCAGGAAATTGTCTTGAAGCTTCTAGAGTTAGTTCATTAGAGAGAGAATAATCAGCTTGTGAGGCCCTGAGTATGTGGGCATAGTGTTCTCATGCTTTGCAGGTGCATTCCTTAGGGTCTGTCGAGCAGTGTTAACAAATATTAAGAAATAAACGCGTATATATTTGTATGTAAGAAAAATAATATATCAGAAAATACTCTCTCAAAAAAGATTAAATTGGCAAAAAATGGAAGAACATGATGTCGATTCTATTTGTGTTTGTTTCATTGTTGCTAAGATTTTTGAGACTTCAAGCTCAACTCAAAAGGCTGCAAAAACAACTGAGACTCTGGCCAGTAACAAAGGTTCCTTAGTAGCATATTCATCAAGGTCTTCTAAGTTATTTAAGCTTTTCCCTCTTATACATAGATATCGTGATATACACCTACCCATGAATCCCTAGTTCATAACAGATAGGAAGGAACAATTCTCTAAATTCCATTTGCTTCAGTAGATTTAAATAATCATGTAACATTTGGTTCAATTTTACATGATGTCTGAACCTTGGCTATCATGATGGTTCCTGTTAATCCGATACTAGTAGGTTTTTAAGTCACGTGTTGTTTGTATTTCAGACGGTAGTAAAGCGGGCTATTGCAATGGAGCATGCAACTGATGCCCTAATCCAGCTAATAAAAGATCACGGCCGGTGGGTAGATCCTTCTGCAGAAGAGTAAGGTCAGGCAATATGACTCCATACAGGAATAAAATAAAGTCGTTGAAATGGGGATTACTGTACAATTATTGTATACTTGGGTAAAAAGTATATAGTGCTAAAAAGTACAATTTGTCCCCATAAGAAGTGCTATACATGTATCATCTTTGTTATCAATTGAATGCTGCAACGAGGTGATGAAAATTGGGTACGAGCCTTGGTTGATCATTGTATTGTATAGATGTACGCAACGATCTTTGTTGTAGATTTAGCAATATATTGTGATAATTTTCAGATTTGTGGAGCCTTTATTTATCAAATGTAGGTATGGTGTTTTAATTTTTTAAGGTTAATAATATTTGAGTTTACATCATTTCCTAATTCCTTCCTACTAAGAAATTGCTATCCATCCAACTTGTTAAGACTTCATTTCTAAGTCATGCTCTGCACATGTATGTGAAATAAATAGATGAGAAGACCATAAAAGCCCAATTCAATGATACAACGACTGGTTATTAATGTTCCACAGAGAGAGAGAGAGAGAGCTTCATAGTCCATGCCGCGTGGTAGCTGCCACGACCTCAAAATCAAACGTTGGAAAAAACCTGATAGGAATAATCACGGAAAGGTACCCAATACAAATAAATGATTTCACACGCAACTTCCTCATGTAACATGAATTCTGAATTTGCTTGATCAAATTGAAGAAATCTCAATCACATGAATTCTGAATTTGCTAAATCAAATTGAAGAAATCTCAATCGAATGTTTGATGGATGATAATGTCATATTGTAATTATCGTTATATTTAATATTTACTTGAATGAAAGGGAAAACTTTGTTCATTTCTTTACGACAGTAAGAAGAGTAATTATCTGAAAGAGTGAATAATTATTTTTCAAATTGACACGATTTACTCTTCTTTTTTTTTTTAATAAGAAAATTTAAATAGACACCAACATCAGGTTGAAACTAATAATCCAAATTGAGCAAATAGGTCATGCATCATTGCACGAGAATATTTGATTAATGTGAGGATATGTGATTAATGTGACTTGTTTGGTATCATAATTCTCTATTATAAGTGTTGGCGCACACATGATGGCTATGTTTGGTTTTTCTCTCAAAATATGTTTTTAAAAAAAAAATTCTAAAAATATGTTTGGTTAAAAATTTTTTAATAAAAATTTCAAAATCACTTTTCTCTCTACTACATATTAATCAATTACTTTTTCTCTCCCATCTCTCCTTCTCAATTACTTTTCTTCTCACACCCATCTATTTAATTACAAAAAAATATCAAATCATTCTAAATTACAAAACTATTTTTAAAATATACAATCAAACAAATTTTTATATTTTCTAAACTCTTTTTAGAAAATTATTTTTAAAATAATATCTTGAAACATTAACCAAACAAGGCCGATATTTGTGTGTCAAATTAATAAAATAAAATAAAATACAAAACAGTTGGTAACTATTTGTAATTAAGGAGTTTCAAAAAAAGAAAAGGACAAAAAGTTTTACATTTGTACTTATAATGATGTGTTATTACATATGTCAACTTTTAATTTGTTAGACATTTAGTAATAAGACCCCGTTCTCTTACCACGTCATTGTGAATAGATTTGTGGATTAAAAATGTGGGTAACATTACTTGGCTCTCTATCTACTTGGACCATTAAAAGTCAAAACTCATGGGACAGTTTTGAGGAAAAAAAAAAGGGAAGAATTACAATTAAGTGGGTTTTTTAAAAAAAAAAATTATATATTCATGAAAAAGTTTAAAATTTTAATAATTAATATTTATAAGATTAACCACTTATGAGTAATTTATTTTTTAAAATTTACACTGAATTGTATTTTCTCCAAAAAAAAAAAAAAAAAAAAAACGAGTCTACACATATTTAAATGGAAAGGAATACCACTAAATTGGTGCTATCCCTATTGTATTTTTTGGCATATAGATCACAATAGTGACCATCCGAAGCATTAAAAACGTGGCTTTTACTGCTCTCACATTCGTTAATATCAGGATCATCATAATATCATCATCTCATAACTATTGAGAACGAATTAAATTAGATAATTTTATTTCTCAATTTTTTGGACTTCCTCGTAGCGAGTTTTTCGAAATCAAATTGAATGTAATTGTTACTTTTTAAAAATTCTTGCTGAAAATCAAAGAAAGAAAGTAATTTTTTCTTTTAGTTTCAAGCTCAGGGACTGGAATCAACTTCCCATGTAGTCGTCAACTCATTCTTGACAGATCCGATCAAGTTTAAGAAAAAAAGAATGAAAAATCAGGAGAAAGTTGTTACCCATTTCATTGATTCATAAAATTTTAACCTTTTTTCTAATCTCTTTCAAAACAATTTTAATTTTAATTTCAATAATAACTAGTGTCTCGTGAGCACTTATAAACATTTATTTATGTGTATATCTGAGTTGTCAATACCCTAATAATAAAGAAAAGTAATGTCAGAAATATTAAAAAATTTATTGAAATTTTTGTCAAATATTTCACATAAATATTAGACCTACCTTGATAAAAGTTTTGATAAATTTTTTGAAATTTCTAATATTTTTCAATGAAGAAACGCTATTCGACTCTACGTAATAAACACTATGGATTCCTCTATTAAATGAGATGCTCTTCTATTAATTGATATTTTGTGTATATCTGAGTTGTCAATACCCTAATAATAAAGAAGAGTAATGTCAGAAATATTAAAAAATTTATTGAAATTTTTGTCAAATATTTCACATAATTATTAGACCTACCTTGATAAAAGTTTTGATAAATTTTTTGAAATTTCTAATATTTTTCAACGAAGAAACGCTATTCGACTCTACGTAATAAACACTATGGATTCCTCTATTAAATGAGATGCTCTTCTATCAATTGATATTTGGATTTGACTCTTCCCGTGATGCAATTTTCTTTTTCTTTCTTATCCTTTTTTTTTTTTTTCCTTTTGACAAATTGTACACTCAAAAAGGAATTTATGTGTACAATGTCAGAAGATATTATCACGATTATGATTAAGACGTAATTTGTTTTTTTTTTTGAACAAAGATTAAGATGTAGTTTGACATTAACTTTTTAATAAATTTTTGATTTTTTTAGGAGGAATTACAATATAGTGGAACAAAAAAAAATTATAAAAATATATAGGGTGCAAGTGAATCTATTCTTGGAAACACTTGTTTAGCTTATATCTTTGTTCTTTGTTATTCCTTTTTTTTTTTTTTCCTTTTGACAAATTGTACACTCAAAAAGGAATTTATGTGTACAATGTCAGAAGATATTATCACGATTATGATTAACGTAATTTTTATTTTTTTTTTTGAACAAAGATTAAGATGTAGTTTGACATTAACTTTTTAATAAATTTTTGATTTTTTTAGGAGGAATTACAGTATAGTGGAACAAAAAAAAATTATAAAAATATATAGGGTGCAAGTGAATCTATGATACGGTGCAAATAAAAAGCTGTGAAAGTCAAAAAATTATTCAATAATCCCAGAACACCACGTGATCATCTTCCAAGTCAATCATCAATTACTTAGTCCCATATTGTTCCTCTATCTCCAACATAAATCGTGAGTCCTTATCCTTTTCTATCAATCAAAACTTTATGGAGCACCACGTGTTCATATTTTGAAAATATTGAATAATCACTCGTGAAAGTCTATATTTATGCAAAAAAATATATTTTATGTCCTACTAAGATGTGATTCTCTCTCCTTCTTTTTTTTTAAACAAAAATTGATATGATTGGAAAGTTAAATAAAATAACATAAAAAATTTGTGAGTAAAAAAATTTGATGACTTTAATTTTTTTAAGTTAACTGATAAAATAATTTCAACTTATTAATTTATTTAATCAAATAAAACAAAAAGCAAACTTATTTAACTCACACCAAACATACTCTTCCATCATGTATATTGATATTTGATAAATGATACGGAGGATGGTCATTTGCCATTGATAAAAAGTTCAGCAATGCTACAGACCTCCAGTGGGGGTGACCCTCAATGACCCCCCAGTGCCACGTGTCGGCTTGGGGTTGGCTGAAAACTCAAAAAAAAAAAAAAAATTATTTTTTTGGACCAATGGGAGGGGACCCCCAATACCCCCACTGGGGGTCCAAAGCTTTATTCTAAAAAGTTTCACCAGTTCTGCTACGGACCACTTGAAAACGAGCTCTAAACCGAGCTCTAAACAGGTGGCATGTGAGGCGTGAAATTGAAGACCATTTGCATATTGAGTGCGTGTGTTTCACACACCGTAGTAAAAAAAAAAAAACATACTCACTCAACTCTCTCTCTCTCTCTCTACAAACACAGACTTGGACAATGGCCAGTGTTCTCGAAACTTCTTCTGGGATAGAGACCCAATTCATTGTTAGCTTTAAATTTCATGGTTGCTTTATCTTTTTGAGGTTTGTCATGAAGATAAGACGTGGGTTTTTTTTTTTAAATCAGAATTTGGAATTTCGAAAGAAAATTTGTGATTTTAAGGCAGAGTTATTGGAGGAAATTCTATGGAGGGATTGTAATTCCAGTGAAGAAGGAGAGGTCTCAGTTCCGTGTTTCTATTACTAATGTTGCCATTGAAATCAGTCCTGAAATCAAGGTAGTTGCTGGTGATCCTTTTAACTCTGATCCGGAAGATCCGGAGTCTAAGGGTATGGAAGTCCAAAAAAGAGTTGTGAGAGGGGAAGAAGTTCCAGTCATGAATACCAAAATCAACATAGTCGTCAATTACTCAGTCCGCCGATCGTCGTGACTGAGGGATCGTTGGGGAGCTTAGCGAAGAGAGAGACAGAGAACTTGAACGCAGGAGCGAGAGAGAGAGAGAACTCCAAGGAAAGAGCGAGATAGAGATTGAGGGATGCTCCATGGGCGACAGACTCGATCATCACCGGGGTTGGACAGCTGCGATCGTCACCGGGGTTGGACAGCTGCGATCGTCGGGGAGCTCAGCGAAGAGAGAAACAGAGAACTCGAAGGAATGAGCGAGAGAGAGTATGAAAATAATGTCTGAAAAGAAAATTAATTTGAAATTTGAAATAAGTGAGAAAGAGAGAGAAAAGGGGGCGAGTTAGCAATGTATTTCCACGTGGGCACCACGCCCCTAGTGATCTGTTTAGTGGTCAACAATTAGTGATACGAAGCATTTCTCAAAGTTTCACGGGATGCTGTTTCGGCAAAACACTAAAAAGTTAAGGGGTAACTTTTTAATTTATTTTAAATTATATTATTTCTCACATAAAATAATAAATAAAATTTAAAAATTAATTCTTAACCATATATCTAAAACACCCCATTATCATGGTACCATGGACACCCAATCATTTTTCCCAAAATCAGACCTCTCAAATTTGATTAACCCAAAGTCACACAGAACATAACTCGTCAGCCATTGCGTAGATTTCACTCCATAGCCTAGATTTTTGTTTGGGTAAATTACGTGGACAATTTTGAGATTTGATTTAAATACATCTTTTTTTTATATATATTTTAAAAATTATATTTTTACCATTATGATTAATAGTCTCATTTTATAAATCTTTATTTATATAAAAAACAACCATTCCAAAAAAAAGAGGCTCATTTCACAATGTGATTAACAGAGAAAATTATATTTAAAAAAAATGGAGTAAAGCAAAGGAAATGAAAAAAAAATAAAAAAAAAGGAAAGCAAAATAAAAAAAGAGAGAAGGCATCAGTTCAATGTAGGAAGTTAGTATAATTTTTCAAACGTCCTGAAAAGAGTGATATATATTAAATTCAAATCCTAATATAATTTACTCTTTTTATTTTTATAAAAATGATCCGTTGCTCGAAATTGTTGGCTCAAACCTTGGCCCGAATACCCAAAACGATGTCGTTTTGGATATTTTTTTATTTTTTTTCCCTTTTCTTTGTTTCTCTGTGCGTTCAAATGCAGAGCGAAGAAAAAATGGGAGAGAGAGAGAGAGAGAGAGAGAGAGAGAGAGAGAGAAGAGAAGAGGAAGAGAGAAGAGAAGGAAGATCGGTGATGGCGGTCGGTGATCGGCGGTGATGGCGGTCGGTGAGGATGAAAGGGATTTTTTGTTTTTTGTTGATGAAGATAATGATGATGTTGAAGATGATGATGATGTTCAAAATCTGAAGCTGTTCAAAAAAAAATTTGATCTGGATGATGGCGGTGATGGCGGTCAGTGAGGATGAAAGGGCTTTTTTTTTTTGTTGATGAAGATGTTGAAGATGATGATGATGTTCAAAATCTGAAGCTGTTCAAAAACAAATTGATTTGGATCTAGATCAAAAAAAAAATTGTTCAAAAAAAAAATGTTGATGATGTTGATCTGGATCTGCAGACCCAGATCTTGTTAATGTTGATGAACAAAAAAAAATTGTTTAGAAAAAAATTTGTTGATGTTGATCAACCTAATTTTTTTTTTTTTTTTTTTGATGTTGATGAACCCAGCAGCGCAGCTCCTCCTCCTTCTTCTCTTCTTCTTCTTTTTCTTCTTCATCTTCATCTTCATCAAAACGCGAAAAAAAAAAAAAAAAACACCAAAACGACATCGTTTTGGTGTCAAGCCACGCCAAGGTTCTAAATATCGGTCGGTACGTGCCGTACCGGCCAATTCGTAACGGAAAATGGGAGTGCCGAGTCGGATACTCACCGGTATACCGGTGAGAATGAATTTCACGTCCGTAGCGGCCGATTCCCGACACGTATCGGCTTGAATCCGATACGTGAGCGATACAGTTCCGATATAGTCCGATTCGGCTGAAAAACAAGCAAAGCATCTGGAAAAATAATTAAGGAAAGCAAATCACATGGAAAAGCAAATCACCTGGAAAGCAAATCACCTGCAAAAGAAAAAAGAATCAACCAAAGTACCTGCAAAAACAAAAGCAAAAGCAGAAAAGAATGGAAACAGACTCACGGGCTCAAACATTTCACTTCAAATTTTTTGTCTTCTTCAAGCAATAATACATACACACAGACTCACGGACACCGGGACACCATAAATGTGTAAAAACCTCTAAAGTTTTCCCTCAATCGGACCAAACTCAACTCCTCAATCAAACCCAAATCCATCTCCCAGGGGCATCGATCTTGTAAAGTGTTGCAAGGAGAAACATCGAATCGAACCCAAACCCACCACCGATTTCAAGCTTCTTCGTTGAAGGTTTTTCTCTCATGCTCTGTTTGTATTTGTTTTATGCTCTGTTTTTGTTTTGGCTGAAGACTTCTTTAAATGGTTTTGCTTGGTGCTCGGTTTGTTTATAATTATGTTTTGTTTTGTTTTGTTTTGTTTTTTTTTTTCTATGGTTATTTTTTTTATTTATATTATGGTATGGGATGGTTTTGCTTGGTAAGTTGTGTTTGGTTTGTTTATAATTTGTTTTTTTTTTCTTTTTTCTGTGGTTATTTTTTAATTTATATTATGGTATGGGATGGGAATAAGATATATTTTAATATATATTTATATTCTTCAAATATTTATATATATATATATATATTAGGAGCATTTATATATATTGAAGCAAAGCTCTGCGGATCCCCCATCAACCTTTATATTTGCTGTCTCACTTTGTTTTTCTATTTTAGTCTCCCATGTGTTGATTAGTTTCTTTGCAGAGTCCAACATTATGTGCACCAAATTCTGAATCATATTTTTCCCATTTAAGCATTTTGTTTGAAAAATTATCTAACATTATGATGAGAGGTCGAGGTTAGTATTGTATTAGTACCAAATAAAAGTTTGAGACTAAAATAAATACATATCATTTAGTTGAAAATGAGTCAAAAGTGCCTTTACATATCAAAACTTTGATTAAAATGTGATAAATTAAGGCTAAAAGAGTCAAAAAAAAATGCATAAAATTGAGTTTTAGAGGGATTACTAATGATTTTTGAAATTTCATAGCCGCGACGCCCGATACCCGATACGTACCGGTCGATACTCCCGATACCGATACTCCGCGATCGATACCATAATTATTTTCTTATAGTGTGTTTGTTTGAATCTATCAAATTTTTGAATCTGTCAAATCTTTTTATTTCAGATTATTTTTATATCAGATTTTTTTTAAAGAGGTTTCATCTGTCAGATTTTTTTAAAGAGGTTTAATTGTTAAGTAAAGATGTTTAATATTTTAGATTTTTTATTTTTATTTTAAATGCATTATTATTACTAACTAAATTCGAATTACAATATTTGTTAATTGAAAACTGTTATTGTAGATAATTGAAAGTTATAATGGCGCACGAAGGTGGTTCTAGTGGAAAACTTCCAAGTGATAATATTGGTTGGAAATTTGGAATTCCACTAGAAAATAATAGGCATAAAATTAGGTGTAAATTTTGTGAAAAATAGCTAAATGGTGGTATAACTAGGTTGAAGCAACATTTAGCCCATATGAAAGGTCAAGTCGCACCTTGTGCTAATGTTTGTGGTGAAGTTCGAACACTAATGATGGATCATTTGAATAATTATAAGGGCAAAAAGATTGAAAAAAGGAAGATGAATGAGGAATTGACAGAACAAATTAGAGTCAGTCAGTGTGATGATGATGAAAATGATGAGGAGGACTTAGAAATGGTTATGGCCCGACAAAATAGGGCTAGTGATATTGAGGTTACACCTCCTCCTGGTTTTGCTCTGCGAAGTCATATTGTTCGTGAGGCTAGTACAGATAAGAAATGGATTGATACATCCTCTCCAGAAGTTCAATTATTAGACATAGATGTGGATCTTCATAGGACCAAAGGCAATAAACAATCCAAACTCTCCTCTAGATTCTTGAAAGAAGCAAAGAAAAAATTAGGAAGAGCAGTTAACCAGTTTGTATTGTTCACTCCAGTGCCTACTAATGTTGTTAATTCTAAATGGCTAGAACCAATGTTGGATACTGCAAGAGAGGTTGGAAAAGGAACAAAGCTACCTACTTCTTATGAAGTAAGCCTCTAACTTAAAGTTTGAAAAAACTCTATCTATGTTTAAAAATAAATGAATTATTAAGATGCTTGTTAATAGTTTTTGTTTGTTATTTATTATTAAACAGGTAACTGAAGTATATTTACTAATGGAGTATGAAGCTTTACAAAATTGGATAAAATCTCATAAATCTAATTGGACTGAGAGAGGTGTTACAATTATGTGTGATAGATGGTCTGGGCCCACAAGAAAGCACATTGTTAATTTTCTTGTGTATAGCAATCGTGGAACAATTTTTCAGAAGTCTGTGGATGTAACTGAGTAGGACATCTGATTATTACTTAGGCCTCATGGACAAGGTAGTGGATGAAATTGGAGAAGAATATGTTGTGCAAATCGTAACTGATAACGAAGCTGCGATAAAGGCTGCTGGTTACAAACTCATGCAAAAAAGGAAGAATCTGTATTGGATAGGATGTGCAACTCATTGTATTGATCTTATGTTAGAGGATATTAGAAAGAAAAAACGTGTAGCAAAGCTGTTGGATTGTGCAAACATAATCACACGCTTTATTTACAACTCCAATTGGGTCGTTGATTTCATGGAAAGATTCACAGGAGATAGAGAGTTGTTACGTCCTATCATCACACGATTTGCCACCAATTTCATTACTTTGGAAAGCATTGTTAAACATAAGACTGCTTTACAAGATATGTTTCATTCTCAAGAGTGGAAGCACAGCAAATGGTCCAAAAAGGATGATGCAAAAAAAGTGAAAAAAATTATACAAAGTAAAGATTTTTGGACCAAGGCGGCAGATGTATTAAAAGTTCAAGAACCACTTCTAAAGGTGCTTAGACTTGTAGATGGGGATGAAAAGCCCACAATGAGTTTTATATATGAAGCCATGGATAGAGCAAAGTTGGCCATCAAACAAAATTGTCGCTATTATGTAGATTATTGGAAGATTATTGATAATTGATGGGCTTTCCAACTACACACGGACTTACATGCTGCTGGTAAGTAATTTTTAATTTATTTAAATTATAAATTATGTGTTCCGTGTCTCACTTTTATTATTATTTTATATTTGAACGTAGGTTACTTTTTAAATCCCATATTCCAATATGGGGAGTACCTTTCTAATCATCGAGAAGTGATGAGTGGAGTTAGAAATGTGATTTCGAGACTTCTACCAGATTTAAACGAGCAAATACAGGCGATAAATCAAGTTAGTCATTATTTAATATTAGTTAAATTGATAGCTTATTATTTGACTTGTGAATTGTGTTTGTAAAACTGCTTATTGCCTTTTGTTCATTGCAGATCTCTTTATTTTGTAATAAAGAAGATTCTTTTGGTGCTGTGTTGGCACAAAGAGCAGTGAAAGCAACAAATCCTGGTAATTGTTATATACTCAATGAACTATTAACTATTTTAATTACATATTATTGTTACATTGTCAACACTTCTATATCAAATTAAAACACAATCACTAATATTTGATTGATTTGTATAAAGCTGAATGGTGGATCCATTATGGCACATCGGGTCCGGCACTCCAAAAAGTGACTGTGAGAGAATTGAGCCAAACCACGTCTTTTTCTAATTGTGAGCGCAATTGGAGTACATTTAGCCTGATACATACAAAGACAAGGAATCGGTTGAAGTATAAAAAATTAAATAAACTTATTTATGTGTATTACAATATGAGGTTAAAGATCAGACATGCAACACGAAAAAGCCAAGATGACAGAGAGGAATCTTTTAACCCCATCAATCTTGACTATATATTTGAAGAAGATGATCTATTAACTCCATGGCTTCAAGAGAGAGAACATGCAGTCTTGGATGATGAAAATAACTCAGGTTGGTTGATTGTTGATGATGATGATGATGATGAGGGAAATCATGCAACTAGTAGCCAAGTACCTCAACACCATTAAAGAGCAGGGTCTGCTGGAAGTGGCTCTAGTGAGGGTTGCGGTTTGAGTCCACCTAGTAGTAGTGGAGATGATAGTGATGGCAGTCGTCCTCCAACAGGTGGTGGTAGTGGTGGACAATGGGAGTCTGTAGGTTCTGCACATGGTTGTAGACGTAGTGTTCATCATATTGATCATGATTGGAATAAGGATTCTACACAGCAACGACGACATTCTATTTCTACTCCTGATGTAGAAGAATCAATTGGGTGTTCACGACATATTGATGATATTTATGGTCATCGTGACCTTAGAAATCAATTTGGACATCTCGGAGTTAGACAAGAAGATGGAAGGGGAACTCAACATTGGCGACCAATATGCCAAGTACCATATCCTTATTACCCTCCTCCAAGTCAACCACCACCACACATCTATCAACCACCTTACATGGAAAATTGGAACTACTCTCAACAACCTCATCAATATCCATATATAGAGGGTTTCAATTATGGCACAGGGGGGCTTGCAATGACACAACAACAATCAAGTAACAGTGGCAGCAACAACATTACTTATGATCAATGCATTTTCAATAACTACTACCAGGAATATCAATATGGAGAAATAGGCCAACCAACTCATAGTGATGATCAAAGTGATGTGAGATATGGAGATTCTTCTGTTCCACCATGTAATTCTTTTTATTACTAAGTTTTAGAGTTGTTGATTTGTAGTAGATTGTTTGTATGCGATTATGACTGAAGCGAATGATTAATTTTCATGTCCCTCTTTCTCTTATTAATTTGTTGTGCATGTGAAATTATTTCATTGTTGAAAATAAGTAAAAAAATATTTTCACATCAATTTTATATTAAAGTTTAACATATATGCCAAATAAAAGCTTGAGATTAAAATAAATACATATCATTTAAGTTGAAAATGAGTCAAAAGTGCCTCTACATATCAAAATTTTGATTGAAATGTAATAAATTAAGACTAAAAGAGTCAAAAAAATACATAAAATTGAGTTTTAGAGGGATTGCTAATGATTTTTGAAATTTCACAGCCGCGACGTCCGATACCCGATACCAATACTTCGCGATCGATATTGTTACGTTACCCAATACCGTGATTTAGAACTATAAGCCATGCACTTTCGAATTACGAATCGAGACTGTTATTGTTATTTTTATTTTTATGGGTATATAGCCTAGATTGAACAAAAGTAACATTTTTAAAAGAAAATAATAAAAACAAAGAATATGATGCCAAAATGGAAGAGATATATAAACCAATAAAGGAGATTCCATATTCAAAGGCATTCCTCTGCATTCATACATCATGTAAAGCATGTTTACATATGATCAGAAAATCAACCAAACTATTGAAATGAACACCAAAAAATCACTCAAAATTCAAAATTTATTAGCACTACAAAATCATCTTCAGTCCAAATCTCAAGCTTTAACGTAACGAAATCACTCTATTACTATGGAAGAAGATATGACAATAACACTAGATTGATGTATAGAGAAGAGACGGTGGTTCAGAGATATATATAGATATAGACATATGTATGTATGTATATCTAGAGAATCTCTCTCCTGGCGGCGTTCCCTAACTGAGACCTCTGGATGTTCTGCTGCCGTTTCCTATACACCATCCCTCCGACTCCGACGAGACACACGCCGGCGATTACTCCGAGCACAATCCCAGCCTTCTGTCCACCTTTCAGTCCACCGGACAATTCCTCGTCACTCGCATTCACGTCACTCTCGTGGACGTCGCCGGTCATGGACGGCGCCGGAACCGGGGACTTCATCGGTGGAGAAGCTGCCGGCGAAGGCGTCGGAGATGAGGCAGGAGCGGGATTCGACGCAGGAGCCGGAGGAGAACTCGGTTCCGGCGACGGCGCGCCGGTTTGAGGTGCCGGAACCGGAGATTGTTGATCTGCATATACAGTGAGTTGTACTGAGAGAATCGCCAAGAGAACAATCATTGACAGCCTTTGGAATCTCGCCATTGCCAAAAGCTTTTTTTTTTTTTTGCTTTCCTCGATCTGCGAACAAGTGGATTAGCGATGTGAATCAAATCAAACAACGCTATCAGAACTCAGATCAAAAGATTTAATACAGTGAGAGAGGGAGAGAGATTCTCTATAGAGAGACAGAGATCTGGATTTGTGAATTTAAAAAAATGCAGTTGAAAAAGTTAGAGAGAGGGAGAGAACCTCGGGAGGAGTGAGAAGAGAACGTGCCTAGATTGGCGGCGCGGTGACGCGTAATACGGGAATTGAGACGGCGCGTGACGCTAAATTGGGTGTCGCCAGTGGTGGCGTAAAGGAGAAAACGGCAACGTAACGTGGTGGGAGTTGCTTGCTGAAGAGTACTGTGGTGTGGTGTGGTGTGGTGTGGGTAGGAAGTCTAGGAGATGAAAGGTTCGTGGTTGTAAATATAAAGAATAATATTATATATATTAATTAATGTATTAATAAGTGAAATGGTATAATATGAGTGATTTTTAATATTTATAATTTGTATAATGGATAAGATCAATAATAATATCATAATTACGTTAATAAATACATAGGATCACCGAAATATAAAAAGACAAAAATTGAATTTGTGAAATTCAAATTTTAAATTTTGAAAAGAATAATAATGGAAAAATGAGTTGTTGTCGTTGAAGGAAAGGAGAGGAAAATAAAGAGGTATTTGAGGGTGAGGCTGTGTCTGGAAAGAATTTTTTTTAAGAGTAGCAGAGGCATAGTCAGGAATTAAATATAGGACCACTTCATAATTATAATTTTAAAATTTTTTCTTCTCTCATTAATAATAATAACATGATGATAATTTTTTTGAGCTAATATTAAACATAAAAAATTAATATTTATTATAAAAAGGTTTTAATTTTAAGCTTTTATAATTGACCCTGATGAATTTTTATCTTTTGAAAATTTTCTATGATAGTATCATTGTCAATGCTATCAAAACTATCTTTTTCAATGTAGACAACTAAACTATCATTCATTCATTCATCACCCATTCGGTTTCGCAATCAATTTTTTACAATATTTATAGCTGAAAATAATAAATAAAATTACTTGTAAATAATTAAGAGAAGATACAAACTTGTAGTGTGCTCCTAAATCTATGTTGTGTGATCCACATATAGTGAATCGCGAGTCAATAAATTACAAAGTAACAAAGGGAGACAAAGAATATAAAAATATGAAAACCCTTAAGAAGTATGATGAATAAATAAAAAAAATAAAGAATTTACTTTTATGATTTTAAAGGTCTTATCACCTACCGTTGAGAGTCTTACCCAATAGTTTTTTTTTTAAATTGCCTAACAAATTCTTAGATTGTTTCTGTAGTTTTTTTTTTTGTTTTTTGAACAATATTCTTCCAATAAAAAGTTATGTGTGTTAGTGTTTAGTTGGGATTTAGATTATAGGATATTTTGAGAAGTTGATGAAAAATTAATCTTTTAAAATTTTTTTTTATTTTTTTTGTGAGTTAATTATGTGAGGGATAATTTCAAAAGACACCCATAAAAGAAAAACGTGGGTGAGGGGAGCTATGTTTCAGTGTGCTTGGTTGGAATGAGAGGATTTTTGTGAGTTTGTGATTGTGTAAGGTTACATGATTGTGTGTGTCAATTAAGAAACAAATAAAAATAAAAATAAAAAAGTTATGAAAAGTCATGTCCCTGTGTCCCTCCGGTCTGGGAGGTAGCTGGAAATATGATTAATGGGTTGTTTAGAATAATTTAAATAAATGTATTTTTATTTTTGTATAAAAAAATATGTAAAAAAATAGAGAGGTGATATAATAAAAAGAAGATAAAAAGATGAATTATTTAGGGGATGTCAAACCACCCCTAAGTTAAAATAACTTATTAAAGAGTAAAATATGTTAAAATAATTCATATTTAATTCATATTTTTTTTATAATTATCAAATTAATTATAAAAAAATAATTAATTTTTTAAACACAATTATTTTAGTTAGGTTAAAATGGTTAAATAGTCAACTCTTCAAACAAGACTTTAATCTGATTTTTTAACTATTTTAACTTGATAAAAAAAATTCATTTGAGATTAATTTTTTAATTTATTTTATATTTTAATAGCTAGCCTAAATTAGTTTCAACCAACTTTTCAAACTGAAGCCTAGATGGAAAGAAAAGAAGGAATGGAAGTTTCGTGACTTTAATTGTCGTGAAAAGGATGCCAGACATACCGGACGGATGCAGTTGTCATGGCTTGGTTTGTTTGGCGTACTTTCAGCGCGCTTTGTGGCGTTAATTATCAGAAATATCAAAATCAATTCTTTGGGCAAATTGCATTAATATACTCCTTATATTTTGGCTTATTTTGTTAACGGGTTTAAAAATTAGTTTTTTAATTTTTTATCATATTACCTCTTTACTTTATATACTTTTTTTATAAAAAAATTAAAAATTAATTTTTAATATGAGTGTAAAAAATGGTCCGCGGCCTGAGATGGACCCGGCCTGTTTAGGCCCGTTTGGGCCAAGGTTTGGGCCATCATTTTGAAGTCCGTCCCATGGGCCCGCTTAAGACCCACTCGAGGCAATTTTTTGCGAAAAATAATAAAATTTTGGTATAAAAAATAAAAAAAATAAAAAAAATTGTTTAGGCCCAATCCCGAGCCTAGGCCCACCAGCCCACCCAAGGCTCGAATACCCTCTGGGCCTAGGTCTATGCCTAATTTTCTAGCCTGTGGGCCGACTTGAATTTTGGCCGGAGCCCACGAGACTCGACATAGGTTAGCCTGGGCAGACCAAGTTTACACCCGTAGTTTTTAACTTATTTCACAAAATAGACCTTTATTTCTTGTGTCATTTTGATCTCTATATTTTTAATTAACTTAATTTTAACTCACAATTTCATATATTGTGTTAATTTAATTCAATCGATAATGTTGTTAGTATTTTTGATAGAAATAATCACTGAATTGGTCGAGATTAACTCACTACATTGCATAATTTTATAATTTTGCTTCTAAAGCATGTCATATGTCACTTATGTGCATATTTTTCATTGAAAAATGTTAACAATTGTAAGTAATTGAACTAAATTGAGACAAATTTATAAATTAATGGTCAAAATCAAACCAATTGAAATTATAGAAAACAAAATGACACAATAATCAAAATACAAAGACTATCAGTGTAATTTGTCCTAATTTTTTTTCCATTCTATTTTTTTTTTATTTTAAAAATTAATGATTCATAATCAAAAACTATATAACGAATAATTAAAAATCTTACTATAATTAAAATAATGTTATGATCAATTATTAAACTATAAATATATTAGGGGTGCTCGCGGTTTAGTTGCGTCCTGGAAACCTCCAATCTATCATCTGTCTAAAATTAAGCGAATTCGAGAAAATTAATCCATAACCATCCACCGAATTGACAGATACGGATTGAGCGGATTGGCACATAAATGCGAATTGATTTAGCGGTTTATGTTTTATAGATTTTCAACATAATAAACTTTGTCAACATAATTTATTTATTTATTTTGGATAGCAATCCAATCTGTCTTATTAATAATGACTACAAACATAGATAATAATCCAACAAACCTGCAAACTAAGGGTACTCGTGGTTCGGTTGCGGTTTAGGAACCTCCAATCTTCTATTCATCCAAAACTAAGCAGATTTGAGAAAATTAATCCGTATCCGTCCATTTGTCATCACGCATCCGTCCAAAATACAGCTGATCGGTTCGATTCGGTCAGTTTGGACAGATCGATATATCCGCTGAGCACCGCTAATATATATTAAGGAAAATGAAATTTCTAATGAGAAGAGTATTGTGAAACTCAAAAGCCTCATACTATTGTTATAGACTTCTTATTTTTTAAATAATTAAAAAATCTTTTATTGGTTAGTTTTTATTGAATCATTTAAAAAAGATAAATTATTATGCCTTGATTTACACATTTCAAAAAGAAAGTTAATTGATCCATCTAAAAATTTAAATTTAAAAATTTGAAAAGGAAAGTTAACTAATTAGTTTTAAAATTAAAATTTTTGTACTGAAATATATGAATCAATTCACATCTTCCATAGATTTTTTCTCTTGATGTTTAACAGTTTTATATGCATTGACATTCTAATCTATATATCTATATTATAGCAAAGAGACATTTCATTAATAAAGGTAGTGAAACCCTCAAAATTTTATTTGAAAATTTTAAATTTTAGTGATTAAGTAAAAATATTAAAAAAATTATAACCATTTCCAATTTTTTGAAAATATTTTTCAAAAAATTTTACTTTATTATTTTTCGTATTTTTTTGTTTTTACTAATTTTTTTTAATATTTTAAGTAATTTTTAAAATTTTTAGACACATCTAACATAAATATACTTAAAAAGTATAATTTTCGTGAAAAAAAAAGTCACTAAATACCAAGAATATAAATAAAAAAATATGAAAATTCAGTATATTTTTCGTATTTTTGTGTATTTATTAACTTTTTAAAATATTTTTTAACAAATATTGTCACGCCCTCAAAATAATAACATTAATTAAAATATTTTTTAACAAATATTGTCACGCCCTCAAAATAATAACATTAAACCCATCAATATAAACATACATTTACATACAAAAGATTCACATTCCCTCAATTAAACAGAGTACTTCATTACAAAAGTATTACATGTTAACAACAAAAGTAAATGCCCTACGGGCTTACAGCTTTCCAAGTTATCACTTGGTTACAAAAGAGAGTATTAACTCGATTACACATTAAGCCCTTGGCTTGAATTTACATGTAATACATCAAAAGGAAAATAAGGCAATAAAAGTATGTCTTGCCCCTAGCCTCCCAAGCTATGTCCTTAGAGGCGGCATGCTACCTGTACCTGAAAATGATGTTCCCATATAGGGTGAGCCACAGCCCAGCAGAGATATACTAAACCAACTATGAACAATGATTAAAAGATTAGCAACTGATAGATGGTCGATACTTACACTTCCATTTACATCTTATTTCAATTCCATGACAACCAAACATATGTTACAATTCACTTTTCATTTATTATTCAACTTTGAGTTTGAAAACAGGGTTCAGTACTCTGGTCAAAACATTTTGATGAGATTATAGTTCATCACTAGAACATTTTCAAAATTCACGGTGGATACACATTTTGGTGTTGTATCAATAACACATAAACTACTTCCATACTTCACAAACGATAATGATATACATTTTAGTGCTATATCAAATCAAACAAACTTTTCAATAGATAAGCATATGAGCTATATCACTACTACAACAGATAAGCATAAGAGCTATATCAACATCCAATAGATAAGCATATCACACATCAACAGAACAAGCATATTAGCTGTATCCACATCACTAACTATGGCACTACAACTGACAAGCATATGA